GCTGGCCCCAGCACCTAGTACAGTTCCTGGAACAGAGTGGATATTCGTTATAGTTTATTGAGTGGGTAAACAACTAAATGACAGTCCTTCCTCAGAACTTCCGGTAGCAAAGAAATCTCATTTGTGAACACTGATGCTGAGAAGTCTGTCGTGTCTAGAAACTTTCATATCTGTTATCTGCCCCTGTTCTCCTTCCCGTCCTATGCGTCCTAAGACCCAGCATGCCAGACCAGAAAAAACCTTAGAGGACCTGATCCAATGTGCTGACTTTACCAAAGGGGAAACTGAGGCTCAGAGAGGTTTCAACTACTAACAATGTACTGAGTGGTCCCTGAAGCCACTTATCAGACAAGTTCCTCCCTCTCGGGGTGCCCAGGTTATCCCCTATCCTGTAGGGGTCTGCTTCACATTATGTTTTTTTTTTATTATTTATTGTTTATTTTTCACATTATGGTTTAAATTTGGATTCATATCTTATAAGATATCCACTATGCCATGAGAACCCAATAAGAGCAACCTCATCTTACTGATCTTGGCACATTCAATGCCTGGCACAGAGCCAGTGCTCGGTAAATATGAATGAATGATTCAATTAATCATGAATCAATCAGTAAATCAATGAGTCAATCATTCAATCAATGAGTAAAGCAGTGGTGTCACTTACCAGCAAGGGAGTTGTCTATAAAATGGGGATGGTGACAGTTTCTATTTGGCAGGGTTGATATGAGAGTTAATGAGAGATTATATCAAAGTTGCCTGGCTCTGGTAAATAGTAGATCATTATCACTTTTTCTGCTTTTTTTGTTTGTTTATTTGTCTTATTTTATTATTTTTTTAACTTTATTTAATTTTTGAGATAGAGTCTCCCTCTGTCACCCTGGGTAGAGTGCCCTGACATCATAGCTCACAGTAACCTCAAACTCTTGGGCTCAAGCAATTCTCCTGCCTCAGCCTCCCAAGTAGCTGGGACTACAGGCTCCCATCACAACCCCCAACTAGTTTATCTATTTTTAGTAAAGACAGGGTCTCACTCTTGCTCAGGCTGGTCCCGAACTCATGAGCTCAAGCAATCCACCTGCCTGAGCCACCCCTCCCTGCCTGTTTGTTTTTAGAGACAGGGCCTCGCTCTGTCATCCAGGCTAGTACAGCCATAGCTGTACGGACCTGGCCAAGGCTCACTATAACCTTGAATTTCCAGGCTGAAAGGATACACCTGTCTTAGCCTCTGGATAGCTGGGACTAACACAGTATGCACTTTTTTTTTTTTTTTTTTTAAGGCTAGTCCAGTGAAGCTGTGGAGTGGAGAAGGAACAAAGAAATCTGTAACTGGTTATTTTCAATTAGTTGTAAACACCACTGCCCTCGGACCAGCCTGGGCATGTGCTCTTGCTTGAGTCAGAGATGGGATCCTTTTACGTTGCCCAGGCTCATCTGAAACTCCTAGCCTTGAGCAGATGGGGTCTTTCTATGTTGCTCAGGCTGGTCTCAAACTCCTGACCTTAAACAATCCTCCTGCCTCTGCCTCCTAAAATGTTGGGATTACTGGCCTGAGCCACTGTGCCCAGCCCAGTGAACGTTTGAAAAGAGGAATTGGGGAATCCAGGCATGAGAAGCAACATTGCATTGTGCTTTGATACCTCAAATGTTTCCCATGGCCTCCAAGGCCCTGCTGGACCTACCCCCGGCCTGCCTCTCTAACTTCCTTACTGCCCTGACTCTGCCTCTCCCTCTCCTCTGTGCTTCAGCTACAGTGATCCTTTCTGTTCTTCAGTGGGCCAAGCTCCTTCCCATCTCCTGGCCTTTGCTTTCTCTGTGGCCTCTGCTGGAACTGTGCTCCACTGTGCTGCACTTTGACTCTTCAGCTCAGCTCAGCTCAGCATTACATCTTCAAAGAAGCCTTCCTGACCACCAGGACTAGCTAAAGTGGCTTTGTCCTGCCGTCCTTTCCATCACTTTCTACGGCATCACCTGATTTATTTCCTTCAAAGCAGTTGTCACAAGCTAAAGGGAGAATGCTTAGTTCTCTGCTTGTTTTTTTACCTGTCTACCCCATTTGAACATAAGCTTCACCAGGGCAAAACATTCACTTTTCTTGTTCATTGCTGTAGCCCAAGGTCTAGAATGGTGCCTAGCCTGTAGAACTCTCTGTTAATGTTTCTGTTAATGTTAATGTTTCCTGAATGAATGAAAGACTTTGGGCTTTCCCTAGCTGGGCCTCTGATTCCTGGACTTTAATATATAAGTGGTTTGAAATGAAAGACAGAAAGTCCCCTTCTGTCTCTAATAATCTGAAGCTCTATGACATGGTTGTTTAAAACATCTTATGTGCTACAAATATAGGAATGGCAATGATTGTGTAATGCCTGTTAATCAGTAGCTAGCGAGCCCAGGAGGGAAGTTCCAGGGCTGAGAACTCAGTGGGAAAGATAACTCTGGCAGATTTAGTAACATCTGCCTCAGATGCCAGTGAGGCCCAGGTATTTTCTTTCCCTGAGAAAAGCAAACTTTGCAAAACTGAACTGACTTCATGAAATGAATGTTGGCATGACCCACCCAGGCCTGTGCTCGGGAATTCACCAGTATCCTTAGAGAATGACATAGAAAACTCTTCTTGGCTAATGCCTCTTTACAGATTTTGCTTAATCCTCAAATGCTAATTCCAGTGGAGCACTGCAGGCTTTCCTTAATTACTTTACCCTTCACCCGGTTCAGACAGCTTTACAGATAGGTAATTATGATGTTTTCTATTTATTTAATCCCACTCCAACTGTAAGAGACCCAGAGATGCAGAGCATCACACGCTGAGCTTCTGAATTGTGGGGAGAGTGTGCAGACTTAGTTTTAGAAGAGTTTTGTGAATGGCCTCTAGGAAATGCATTTCCACTCTCAGAACTGCACGAACTGCGCATGTTCTTGTGGGCCTGTGTCCCCAGCAATGCTGGCAGTCCAAAAACCTCACAGTGCTACCAGGAAAACAGAAAAGTGTATTCTTTTGAATTTAAGACAACAGTTCAGGCTCTGTCTCCTCATTCTGGCCACTTGGACTGCACTACAGATGGCTTTGGGGAAGAGTATGGGGCATGTGTTCTTTTATACTCCCAGACCCTAGTCTCAGCTACTTAGGAGGCTGAGGCAAGAGGATTGCTTGAGGTCAAAAGTTTCAGGCTGCTATGAACTAGGACAACACGGCACTCTACACAGGGTGACAAAGTGAGACTCTGTCTCAAAAAAAAAAAAAGATTATATTCCTAGACCTTTGAGCCATGACCTTATGGCCTATATTACTGTTATTGACTTATCTATGAGGCAGACTAAATCTTAGTAACCTATATCCCCAATGCTTACACATCCCCGATACTTACACATCCGGGATACAGGCCTGATACACAGTGGTGCTTCTATCAAGATTTGTGGACTGGCCAGGTATGGTAGCTCATGCCTGTAATCCCACCACTCTGGGCAGCTGAGGCAGGTGGATTTCCTGAACTCACGAGTTCAAGATCAATCTGAGCTAGAGCAAGAACCCCCATATCTAAAAAAAAGAAACAAAGCTGGGCATTGTGGTGGGCACCTGTAGTCCCAGCTATTGGGGAGTCTGCTGCAAGAGAATCACTTGAGTCAAAGTCTAAGGTTGCTGTGAGCTATGACACCATGGCACTCTACCAGGGGCAACAAAGTGAGACTCTGTCTCAAAAAAATAAAAAACAATTTGAGACTGGGGATCAGGTTTGGTGGCTCAAACCTATAACCCTAGCACTCTGGGAGGCCGAGGCAGGAGGATCCCCTGAGTTCGGGAGTTTGATACCAGCCTGAGCAAGAGCAAGACCCTGCTCTACTAAAACTAGAAAAATTAGCCAGGTGCTACTTGGGAAACTGAGGTAGGAGGATCACTTGGCCCCAAGAGTTTGAGGTTGCTGTGAGTTAAGTTTATGCCACAGCACTCTAATGTGGGCAAAAGAGTGAGAATCTATCTCAAAAAAAAAAATAGATTTGTAGAATGGAAATAGTCAGTGGGCTGGCTGTGTAGTGCTAGAACTGGATTATTTTAAAAGCTAAAAATAGGGACCAGTCACAGTGGCTCACACCTGTAATCCTAGCACTTTAGGAGTGCCACTTTGGGAGGCCAAGGTGAGTGGATTGCTTGAGCTCAGGAGTTTTGAGACCAGCCTGAGCAAGAATGAGAACCCATCTCTAAAAATAGCCAGGCATTGTGATGGACGCCTGGAGTCCCAGCTACTTGGGGGCTGAGGCAAGAGGGTCTCTTGAACCCAAGAGTTTGGGGTTGCTATGAGCTATGATGTCATAGCACTCTACCAAAAGTGTTGAATTGTTGAATTGTTTTAATTGTTTAATTGTCAGTACCTCAAGAAAGCCTTCTCTAAAGTCAAAAATAAGCTGAAAATAACAAATCCTTTTGTTCAATGATCTGGACCCAAGTCTAACCTTATTCAGGCTTCCTGAGAGGCAGCACAGCTGGGGGCAGATCCTGAAGTCATACCCACACACAGGTAACATTAACCTTCTGGAGTAACTATAACTCCCTTTCCATAAGTGGACTACTAATGGGACCTGTCTCAGAGGTTTAGGGTGGTAGTTAAAGTAAGATGACACAGGTAAGATGGCACGGCCAATGCCTGCTATTGTTGTACTCACTGAGGTCTCTTCCCCCGCTCCCCCTTAGTGCTCACGGAAATTCTATTCTGGGTTTAATTGGCAGTCCCTCAAGAAAGCCTTCTCTAAAGTCAACCCCTACACCCATCCATTCTGGGCACCCACATTGCTTTGCACACATCACCACAGCCTGCAGAGGGTTGCGTCTTAGGTCTTTTACTTCTGCTGGATTTTGGAGGCTTCCATGGCAGAAATCATGCGCTCCACTGCCCCTGCTGAAAGGGAATAAATGGGGATGTCTTCATTCCCTTGTCAGTAAGGGGTTTGGGTTGTTGTATTGTCCTTGTTCTCCATTTACCGACCCCATGCTTTTCTCTGCCTTCCCTTAGGATGAGCATTTCTGTGACTTTGTGGACATCCTCACAGAGTACCAGACCAAGAACATCCTGGCCTCCCCCATAATGAACGGGAAAGATGTGGTGGCCATCATCATGGCCGTGAATAAAGTGGAAGGACCCCACTTCACCAAGAGAGATGAAGAGGTAAGAATGCTTTAGAAATGCAAGCTAGCCCTGCCAGCACATCCTCCTAGCTCATGAAGTCCCCTGAACCTTGCTGATTGGTATGGCCTCAGTTTCTCCTTCTGTGAGACAGGGAGGCAGGACAAAACAATGTAACCATTGGGCTTTGGGCTTGGTGCCTGTAGCTCAAGAGGCTAAGGTGCCAGCCAATACATCAGAGCTGGTGGGTTCGAATCCAGCCCAGGCCTGCCAAACAACAATGATGGTTGCAACCAAAAAAAAAAAAAAAAATAGTTGGGCGTTGTGGTGGGTGCCTGTAGTTCCAGCTACTTGGGAGGTCGAGGCAAGAGGATCGTTTAAGCCCAGGTGCTGGAGGTTGCTGTGAGCTGTGATGCTACGGGACTCTACCTAGGGCAATAGCTTGAGGCTCTATCTAAAAAAAAAGACATTGGACTTTGAAGTGGAATGGAGGGATCACTGTTCTGGCTCTGCCAATATCTAGCTGTTTGACTTGGGCAAGTTACTTAAGTTCTCTGAACCTCGATTTTCTTATTTGCAAAATGGGGATAATTTTTCAGAATCTACTTCATAGGGTATTTGTGATGATCAGATAAAATTAATAAACAATCTACCCCAGTCAAACTCAAGGAACAGTAGCTATATTTTATTAATACATCCCTATCAACTTTGATATTCTACATTCTGTGGGTTTTACATTCATTATGCAACATTTTATAAGTCTGCATTCTCGGATCCATCTGTCCAAATTCCTTCTGATGAAGCTCCCAAAATATCCAGACGTTTGCTGGTAGTAGAAGTGGCCAGAAGAGATCATCCTGCTTCTCATCTTCTTCCCCTTATACTGCTTGATTTTTAGGTTCTTCTCAAGTACCTCAACTTTGTAAATCTAGTCATGAAGGTGTACCACCTGAGTTACCTGCACAACTGTGAGACTCGACGTGGCCAGGTAAGGGGCTTATAGGAGTTGACTAGACATGGCCTTCTTCTGAAGCACCAATATGGGCAGACAGTGTGGATTAGAATCCTTGCTCAGCCATTGATTCGCTCTAAGACACTGAGCAAGTCACTAACTCTCTCTATGCTTTGGTCTCCCTATTTAAAAAATGAGGACAGGCCAGGTGCAGTGGCTCATGCCTGTAATCCCAGCACTCTGGGAGACCCAGGTGGGTGGATTGGCTGAGCAAGAAGTAGACCTCGTCTCTAAAAATAGCTGGGTGTTGTGATGGGCGCCTGTCCAAGCAACTTGGGAGACTGAGGCAGGAGGATCACTTGAGCCCAAGAGTTTGAGGTTGCTGTGAGCGATGATGCCACAGCACTCTACTGAGGGTGACAAAGTGAGATTCTGTCTCAAAAAAGAAAAAGAAAAATGAGAACAATTATGGTGCTACCCTCAAAAGAGTGCCACAATAGTAAATGAGATAATGAGGTAGGGCACTGGTGCTCTGCAGTGTCTGATGTTATTTTTATTGACAACTTGAGAGATGAAAGAAATGGACAGTTAGACCCATTGTAAGCTAGCCAGTCAATTCACCTCTCTAAGCCTCAGTTTCTTCATCTATAAAATGGGTATAATTATCCTGTCTATTCTGCTGGGTTATGATAAGGGTTACATAAAATAAACTCTAGAGAACTTTATAGAATTGTTTATTCTCTAGTTAAGTGAGCTGCTGCTTTGTGCCTCAAAACCTTTGAATATGTTTTTGTTGTTTCTTCAGATACTGCTGTGGTCTGGGAGCAAAGTCTTTGAAGAACTTACAGACATTGAGAGACAGTTCCACAAAGCCCTGTACACAGTCCGTGCCTTTCTCAACTGTGACAGATATTCTGTGGGTCTCTTAGATATGACCAAGCAGAAGGTGAGGAAACTTCAGGAACAGACATTCCTAAGAGAGGGTTAAATAGGCACCAGGAAATGCATTCATTTGCACAAGGAAGAAGCTGGGTGAATTTAGATGGCTATAAAAAGTTTTAAATAGGCCTTTATTGAAGAGAAGAGTGTAAGCCTTTGAATGGAAAAAGTGGATGTGGGGCACAGATGAGAAAAACCAACATGGATTTTCTCCAATCAATTTGAAAAACAATGTAGCATTCATAAGAAGAAGGCTGATGAGATGGTAAGGAAGTTTCCTTACAGGCTGAAAGTCCAGAAGAAAGTTGCTAACTTTAGGAATTCCCAAAAAATGTACAGAAACTTGGGTGCAAACTTTTGTTATGATTTTTCTAGCCCAGGGCTCACCTAGGTACTTGAAGTGGAGGCAGATGCTGAGATATGATCCCTCACATACTCAGGGGCGAGATTTGTAGCCGATTTGGTAGCTAAGGAGGCAGAGTTCAGTGTGGCTCCCAGCCATGTTGTTCAGCCATGTGTTCCCAAACTGACTGTCCTGTTCTTCTTTCTTTATCTCTCTGCCTTGTGAGGCTGACCATTTCCTGCCTTAGAGCAGGGTTTCAGAATGAAGTTCATCATCCCCTCTCCTGAAGACCCAAGGATTCTCTGTCAGTTTCATTTTGTATGCCTTGTCATGCTGGGCGTGGTGCCTAGACTAGTATAGACCCTCCAAATATTGCATTGAATCAACAAATGAATCGCAGGATCTGGTGTTTGAAAAGACCTTAGAATCTTAGACCTAGTCCAGAGGCAGTTCACTAGAATCTTCTGAGGGGCTGATAGATAACTATGAGGCCATTTATTCTGACAGTCTGCCATTTTTACTTAATGTTTTATTTTTTTAATTAACTAATTAATTATTTATTTTTTGAGACAGAGTCTCACTCTGTTACCCTAGATAGAATGGCATGGTGTCAGCCTAGCTCACAGCAACCTCAAACTCCTGGGCTCAAGCAACCTTCCTTCTTCAGCCAGCTTCCTGAGTAGCACAGGAAATTACCATAATACCCAGCTAATTTTTTCTATTTTTCGTAGAGATGGGGGAGGGGGGTCTTGCTCTTGCTTAGAGTGATCTTGAACTCTTGAGCCTAAGACAGCCTTCCTGGCGGGGCTGTGGCTCATGCTGTAACCCTAGCACTCTGGGAGGCCGAGGTGGGTGGATTGCCTGAGCTCACAGGTTCAAGACCAGCCTAAGCATGAGCGAGACCCCGTCTCTAAAAATAGGTAGGCATTGTGGAGGGTGTCTGTAGTCCCAGCTACTTGGGAGGCTGAGGCAAGAGGATTACTTCAGCCCAAGAGTTTGAGGTTGCTGTGAGCTGTGATGCTGCAGCACTGTACGAGAGGTGACAAAGTGAGACTCTGTCTCAAAAAAAAAAGACATCCTTCCACCTCAACCTCGCAGAGTGTTAGTATTACAGGTGTGAGCACCACCCCCAGCCTACTTAATATTTTATAAACAGCTTTTTATGTCAGTACGCATTGATTCTTTTTAATAAGGCTTTATGTTGAAACTTAACATAGACACAAAAAGGAACACCAATTATGGTCGCTAATTATAGGCACATAATAGTTCAATGAATTATCACAGAGTGAACATGCCCCTGTAACCACCACCAAAATAAAGAAGTAGGACATGACCACAACCTCAGCAGCCCCCTTCAAGCCCCCTTAGCCCCCTTTTCAGTGCCTCCCGCAGCCTCCTCCCTGAAGGTACACACATCAGACCTTTAGCACCATATTAACTTTATCTAATTTTGAGGTTCATGTGAATGGAGTGATCTAACTCACACATTTTTATGTTTGGTTTAATCTGCTCAACATTTTGCTTGTAAGACTTATCCTTACTGTTCCATGTAACATTAGCTGGTTCATTTTCTTCCTGCATAATATTCCAAATATGTGAGTAATACACAATGTATCTATCCATTTCTACTGTTGATGGACACTTGAGTGTTCAGATTTGGGCTAGGATGAACGTTGACGTTATGAACATTCTAGTACACATTTAGTACACAGTTGTACCCATTTCTGCTAGGTATTTACCTGGGAGTAGAATTTCTGGTAGACATTACCTATCTGATTTTCAACATGATTATACCATTTTATACTCTCTTTAGCAGTTACATAAAGGTTTCTTCACCAATACTTGGTATTAACAGTCACTAACTTTAGCCATCCTGAAGGTTATCTCTTTTGGTATTCCCCTGATAACTGTGAGCCTGAATAGTTTTTCCTATGTTTATTGGTCTTTTGGACAACTTCTTTTATAAAGTGACTGTTCAAGTCTTTTCCTCATTTTTAAAAATTGTATTTTTTTTTTTTAACCTTACCAACTTATAGAAGTTCTTTAAAAATTCTGGACTCTTTTGAATACATGTATGGTAAATACGGTTATGCACTGCATAACATTATATTTTGGTCAGTAATAGACTGTATATATGTAACGTGCAATAGTGGTCCCATTAAATTATAATGCAGTTGAAAAATCCCCTTGTCTAGGGACATAGTAGCCATAGGGCAATGCATTGCCCTCATGTCTGTGATGATGGCGGTGTGAACAAACCTGCTGTGTAGTCGATCATGTAAAAGGACAGCAGTGCAGTCCCATAGTGCATAAAACTTGACACTCCCCAATATCTAGGACTCCAAGCTCCTGCCACAATGCCCGGCTAGTTTTTTCTATAAACACAGGGTTTCACTCTTGCTCAGAATGGTCTCAAACTCCTGAGCTCGGGAGATCCACCCACCTCGGCTTCCCAGAGTGCTAGGATTACAGATGTGAGCCATCGTGCCGGCTGCTTAGCATGTTCTTAAGGTAAATTTAATAGCCTATTTTCCCTCTCATGTTTCACAACACTGAGGGTGCCCCCAATTCACCTCCCATGTTTTGGGCAAATGACTAGACAGGCCCAGTTCATCAATATTTTGAAGGGTAAGGCCAGATGCAGAGGCTCATGCCTGTAATCCTAGCACTCTGGAAGGGTGAGGCAGGTGGATTGCCTGAGCTCAGGAATTTCAGACTAACCTGAGTAACAGTGACACCTCATCTCTAAAAATAGCTAGGCATTGTGGTGGGCACCTGTAGTCCCAGCTACTTGGGAGGCTGAGTCAAGAGAATCACTTGAGACCAAGAGTTTGAGGTTGCTGTGAGCTATGAGGCCACAGCACTTTACCAAAGGCAATAAAGTGAGACTCTGTCTCAAAACAAATTTTTTTTGAAGGGCAGACATGATCATCATCTAAGTGTAGTGAATCTCACAGCCTTTCCAAACTTAGCTTTCACAGAACTCTTCCCACTTCCCAAATTTCAGAATAAATGACTCATATAGGTAGGACTTCTTTTCTTAATCTCCTTTTCTTAATCCATTTTCAAAACATGTAATTATTGTTGTTTTGCACTCCTAGGAATTTTTTGATGTCTGGCCAGTTCTGATGGGTGAGGCTCCACCATACTCTGGTCCCAGGACTCCAGATGGAAGGGTAGGTCTTTCTCTAACCTCTGTAATATGATAAAATGTTCAATAAATTCAAATACAAGACATAGTAGGCCCTGCTGAAGACCATTTCTTTATCACATAAGTATTTATCTTCTTTGGGTAGAGTTGTCTCCCTTGCAGTTAGAATAATTCCTTATAATTACCAAACCCTATCACTTGCAAAGTAAGATCTTTCCTTCCCTTCCCCTATTCCTCCCTCCCTCATTTTCTCCCTCCCTCCCTCTCTCTTTCTCTCTTTCTCTTTTTCTTTCTTTCTTTCTCTCTCTTTCTCTCTTTTCTTCTTCTAACCACTATAGCAAAGTGTGAAGTCTGGTGAGGTATTCAAAGCAGGAATAAATATCCTAATTCTATAGATGAAGAAAGAGCCCCAGAGAGGTCAAGCAACTTGCTCAAGGATTTGCCTAGCAGGAATTCAGAATTATATAGTATAGACGATATAAGCTAGAGAAAATCTTTGTATCTAGTCTACAATGTACAAATTGGTACTGCTAGATACATGCTTGGCTGCATAGGTTTCTATGTTTTTCTTTTTTGTTTGTACTTTACTATTTTTTGCATTGGTGGTTAACACTTAAAAAATAAAAGTATTTCCCATAAATATCTGAATTCTCTATTTCTTTTGAAAAGCGAATGATTAGTGAAAAGTGGACCCACAGGCCAAGTAATAAGAGCCAGAGTTAGAGCCTGACATTTTTCTGGCTGTCCTGGAGTTGGAAATGACCAGAGTTGAGGTTTTTTTTTTCCTTTCAGTGTAACAAAGGGAAATTTTATTTAGGAAGAACAAAGAGAAAGTTCAGATCACTTCCAAAGAGAGCTGGAAGGGGTCCCTATGCTCATGAAGGAGCATAGCCCAGAGAGAGACCACATTTGGGTTGCTGACGTCGGGTCTCATCCAGCTGCCTCACTTTAAAGATGAGGAGTAATGACCTCTGTGATGCTGAAGTATGGGGGGGGTGTGGATATGGTGCTCTGTAGAACCTGCAGAATGACTGAGAGACACTGGCTGAGCCCTCACAGAATAAGCGAGGGTTAAGGGTGGGAGTTTTTAATCCAAGGCTTCTCACCATCTGGGGGAAGCAATATGCAGTTTCTCCTGGGAGACCAGATTCCAAAATCAAGGGCTTAGCGTGTATGCATGTGTGAGAATGCTAAGACTTTAATTCGTGTTCATTGAAACTCTGTTCAAGGGCGGTGCCTATGGCCCAGTGGGCAGGATGCTGGCCCCATATACTGAGGGTGGCAGGTTCAAACCCAGCCCTAGCCAAACTGCAACAACAACAAAAAATAGCCAGGCATTGTGGCAGGTGCC